ATTTATAGAGATCTATTTGTTTTCAGCTTGTGTGGGGAATATCCATGTTGCTATGCAACCAGGCAGCTTAGAGGAAATGCTGACTTTCAACTGGTGCAACACTGTTCCTGTAGATACACCAGAAGAAAAAATGTATCGCCAGAAACCTATTTCAGACCCAACAGAACACCTACAATGCTAACTATACAGAAAGCCATAAATTACAACATCTATAGATACTTAAATTGAAATAGTTTTTTTGCACTAAATTTCTTATTTGAGGACACTGTAGTGTTTATTGAATTTGTGGTTGAAGACCTCTAATGGCATTAAATATCTTAATGCAAAGTTGTAAACCTTACTAGATTGTTAGAACTAAATCCAATATGATAAGTAGATAATTTAAGAAGCAGCAATCCTAATTTAATCCTTTGGCAATAGACATTAACCAGATAAGAACACTATAAACCCAATCCCTATCATTCTGCTCCAATCCCAAATGCCACATCTCACTTCTGTATAATTAGAAATGAACTTAAATGAGTAACAATCTTTTGATTGTAGGCAACATCTGACAGATGCTACTGTCAGTTTTTTACATCTTTTAATGTTTATGATGGAAATCGCTGAAATGTTATCATTTTAAATTATTTCAAGTCTTTCAGTTATAATTTTGTGTCTAAGCTCTCATACATATGCAAATTAATTGGAGCATCAAAAACTTGACAGTGTATTTGAAAATTGGAAAGTCCTTTATCTAATCCAGAAAATAATTGGATGTCTAACCTTTAACCATTTGTACAAGGTACTTCCTATGAAGAATAATAATTAGCATTTCTTATTGCAAATCTATCATATAAACCTAATGTACATGAATATGTTTTCCCAATGGTAACAAGTCACGAATAATATACGTTTATAAATAAGCAGATTACTCACTTAAAGAGAGGCAGAAAGGCAGACATTGTTGTTATTGAAAATGAGAGGTATAAACAGAAAATGCTGGAAATACTCAGCAGGCCAGGCAGCATCTGTAGTAAGAGAAACAGGGTTAACATTAACTGTGTTTCTCTTTCTGGAGGTGCCTGATCTGCTGAATATTACCAGCATTTTCTGGCTATATTGTTCAAATAGCCTGTATCAATGAACAATGAATGACAAACATGCTTAGCAGTTACTAATGCAATAGTTTTATGTGTGGTGTTTGATAGTCTAGAAGACTAGCTTAAGAATCTATCAGATGTTTCATTTAAATTTAAAGGCGATAATGGTTGGGTGGCACTGTTACCTCACAGCGCCGGGGACCTGGGTTCGATTCCACCCTTGAACGACTGTCCGTGTGGAGATTGTACATTCTCCCCACATCTGCGTGGGTTTCTTCTGGGTGCTCCAGTTTCCTCTCACAGTCCAAAGATGTGCACGTTAGGTGGATTGGCTATACTAAGTTGCCCATAGTGTCCGGGGAGGTGCAGGCTAGGTGGATTAGCCATGGCAAATGCAGGGTTACAGGGATAGGGTAGGGGGTGAGTGTGAGTGGGATGCTCTTCAGAGGGTTGACATGGACTCAATAAGCCGAATGGCCTGCTTCCACACTGTAGGGATTCTACAATTCTAAGAAAATGATATTTAATAGAGGGGACATGCAGTTCTTCATATTGTGTGCTCTTTTTATCCATAAAAGGTAGACAATGAACCCAACAAACCCATTCTGTGTGTTGACAAAATTAAGAGTGTAAGTTTCTAATGAATGAATTTTCACTCTATCCGGCCCATTTTTGGATTGTTGATTTCTAGACCTAATTTTGTTTCCAAGATTTTTGATGGTAGTGGTAGAAAATCACAATGCTTTGAATTTATCAAGCCCATTGGTTCATCTAGTGCAGTCAGCTGTTCTTGAATTATGCTAATACAAACAATTTAGCCATGGTCCCGCAACTAAAGCGCCCTAACAGGCACGTTTACCAATTAGTGCTTTCTTTGTCTTCCTGCCAGACTGCAGAGAATTATAGAATAGTAGTCTAATACCTTGCCACGTAAGAGGACCTCAGAGCGTTATACTAACTGCACGAACATAACCAGCTGATTGTGTTTTGGAACACATTTAACATATGACACATTGTAGTTCCCCTCAATGTCATGAAATGGTATTATATTATTACATTTTCTTGGTATGTTTTACTAACAACTGGACACATTTGACACTTTAAGAAGTACAGGAACACTGAGCAGTTTACAGGAAAGGCCTGATCATGATCTTGGAGCACTGGAGTGCGTTACAAGATTGAAACTCAATCAAGAGATTCAGATAGCATCATAAGCCACAAGAGACCATGCTTGAAGAGTTCCCCAGTCATCCGAACCAACAGTGTGTCATAACATAAGACACACTCCAAATCATTGTTCCTTTTTATAATAGCTTGATATCATTTAGCATTTCTTAAATGTTTGGAGCTTTATTATTGGTGTTTGTATTTTCTATTACTGGCACTAACCACTGCCGTTACAGCTGCTGAATATTTTTGTGATGATCTGTGTCCTGAGGCAGGAAGTAGCAATGTTTTACAATATTATGACAGTCAACTGGCGTTATGGTAGAGACAGATGATGGAAGAGAGGATTTCTACTGATAAATAATAGTCTGTTTTGACAACAATGGTTGCGATTGCAATAGTTATTTTGGGAGGGGAG